GGATCTTTGTGAATTTGAGGCCAGCCTGGGCTACAGAGTGAGTTCCAGGAAAGGTGCAAAGCTACACAGAGAAAGCCTGTCTTGGAAAAAAAAACAACTAAGAACAAACAAAAGACTAATAAATAAATGAACCTTTGGGCTGGGCATGGTGGTACACCCCTTTAACACCAGCACTCCTTTTCTGCTCAAATTGTACAGTTTTCAAATCCCATTCCACTTCCCCTTCCAATTCTCATTATAAAACCTCACTAAAGCAGAACCATCTCCAGTCTGAAGCTCTGCTGTCTTGAACCTTCCTCTGCCAAACAAATTAGTCTATACTTTTAGTCTAACCTCATCCCAATTTTCAAGATATGGACAGAATGTAGACAAATTCTTTGCCTCTTGTGCGCTTCCCCGTGAAGTGACTGTCAGTGTTTCTGGAAGCCGTCCCACCAGGTCGTACACTAGGTGGCGCTCATGCCACCCTAGAGCTTCTCTAGCCCCAGCTTTGAACTGAACTGTTCCACACTCCTCCCTCAGGCCAGTTCCAAATGTCTAAGGAGCACAGGGTCAGTTTGTCACAGCAACAATTCTGCAGACAGCACCAATTTTTTGTGTTGGTTGTTTTTGTGTTGTTTTGACTAAAATACCAAACGGAAACAATTTGCGCGGGGGTGGGGGAGTAATTGTGGCTCAAGGTTTCATAGCAGGAAAAGCACAGCGGAGCAGTAGGAGCCTTGAGGCAAAGACAGTTCACACTGTGACAGTCCAGGAAACTGAAGCAGGGGGTGGGGGGGTGGGGAGGATAGATGGGAGTGCATGGGCACATGGTGGGTGGTGGGGTGGGTGGTGACCAGAACCCAGAGTTGGGAAATAATTTTCAAAGGTCCATGCCTAGGAACATGCTTCCATGAGCTAGGATCAACCTCTTAAAACTTTGACAACAGCCAGCCATGATGGCACACCACTTTAATCCCAGCACTCCGGGGGCAGGGGCAGAGGCAGAGGCAGAAGGATCTCTGTGAGTTCCAAGAAGCCTACATAGTGAGACCCTACTTCACAAAACTAACAAACACCTTCCAGAACCTCCCAAACGACCCCACCAGCTGGGAAACCAGCCTCAGGAACATGAGTCTGTGAGGGGCATTTCAGACTCATTTCAGGAATGTTGGCTTCAGCATATGCTCTCCACCTGCTATAGCAGAATGGGAATGCCAGGATATGATATCGTGCCCAGCCCTGCCAGTGTGCACAGAGATAGATAAGAGGAAATGAGAGGGCAGACTGCAGCAAGCCAGGGCAGAGCCAGAGAGAAATAAACCACAGAATCCAAGATCTACATGAGGTGACTTCAGAGATAATGGACCAGCTCTTCATTGTAAGGATAGAGGGGTAATGAGTCTTACTCTATCCCACCAGCCAGCTCCCAAATAAGGACACAAGACTTATTATTAATTATGAAAGTTTGGCCTTAGCTTAGGCTTGGTTTTAGCTCACCTAAATAAATTAACCCGTGTCTATTAATCTACTTTCTGTCGTGCACCGCCCATGCTGCTTCTTGCAGGTCTCTGGCACGCTTAGATTTTTCCTCTTCCTCTCTCTGCCCAGAAGTCCTGCCTATACCTCCTGCCTAGTTACTGGCCATTCAGCTCTTTAGGAAAGCAATCACAGCAATATATCTTCACACAGTGTACAAATATCTCACAGCGTAGAAAGGCCAGACCTGGAGAGGCCAGAATTCCTGCCATCCTGGTATCTGTTAGCAAATCAGAAATGGGCTTCTCCCATTCAAAGCTTGGCTGTCTCAAAAAGGAAACAAAACATAACAGTAATACTAAAAGCTGGAGAGATGACTGGCTAACCAGTTAAGAGCACTGGCTGCTTTTCTAGAGAACCCTGGTTCAATTCCCAGCATCCACATGCTGGCTCATAGCCATCAGTAGCTCCAGTTCCAGGGGATCCAACACCCTCTGCTGGCCTCCACAGGCAACTGGGTACATAGACATAAATTCAGGCAAAATGTCCATACACAAAAAATAAAGCAGTAAAGCTAAGCCGGGTGGTGGTGGCACATGACTTTAATCTCAGCACCTAGGAGGCAGAGGCAGGCCAGTCTCTGTCAGTTTGAGGCCAGCCTGATCTACAGGACAGCCAGAGCTGTTACATGGAGAAACCCTGTCTCAAAAAACCACAAAAACAAATGAACAAAAAACAGTAAAGCTACCTGGAAGATAATTTACCACTATATCTACTGCAAATTAATTTGTTTATTTATTTGAGACAAGGTTTCTCTATGTAGTCCTGGCTGGCCTAGAACTCTCTATGTAGACCAGGCCTTGAACCCAAAGATATCCACCTGCCTCTGCCTCCCAAGTGCTAAGATTAACCTACTGTATATTTAAACATGTACAACCATTCACTAGTTTCACTTGTAGGAACTTATGGTATAGAAATGCACATGTGTACAAGGATGACATCTCTTGTGACAGGAGACATGGGAAGTGGTCCAAGAGTTAGGACTACATCAGTAAACCATGGCACATCTGGGCAATGGAATATAAACAGTCATTAAAAGCAGTGAGGGGCTGCAGTGTGGCTCAGTGGGTTGTGTAGGTGGACTTTCCTGTCCCGCCAGCCCACTCCAAAATAACCACACAGAGACTTATTATTATATTATATTATTATAAATACTCAGCTGATAGCTTAGGCTTGTTACCAACTAGCTCTTTCAACTTAAATTAACCCGTATCTCTTATCTACATTCTGCCACGTGGCAGTACCTTTTTTCAGCACAGCATGTTCGTCAAATTTCTCCTTCCCAGTGTTCTCTCTGTCTGGCTCTCCTGTTTAACCTCTTTCTGCCTAGCTATTGGCCAGTTGGCTCTTTATTAAACCAACGAGATTAAAACATCTTCACAGTGTACAAAAGGATTATTCCACAGCAGGTTGTGCTTGGCATGCCCAAGGCTCTGGGCTGAATCCCTAGCATTGAAAATAGAGTATTCAGGATACACTGTTTAGCAAAATAAGTCACACATTATGTACTGCATGAATCCGGCTACGATGGATAATGATTTATATGTTGCAATGAATGTTGGCAAATTCCCTCTAGGCAACACTTCTGCTTAGCAAGGTTCTAATCCACGGTTGGCAACTTTCTACTGTGTGTTCCTTACCAAACAGCTTGGTTCAGAGTCTAATGCAGTCTGCACCCATCTTTCAGGGTTTGGCTGGGTTGCATCTCCTCCACGCAGCTTCCCTAGTTTACCCCTGTCCCAGGTCTTCTTTGGTTCTTTCTGCCTCCTTCTCAAAGCAAAAAGAGTCAATGTCTGGAAAGGAAGAAAAAGCTGGAAGCTTCACTATGTAGAGTTTTAAAGTTGATTAAAATATGGATGTGACTGGCTGAAGGATATATTGGTGAACAATTGACAGTCTAGAGACAAACTCTCGCGTTTATGGTCAATTGTCACTGTAAAAGGGGGCGGAGGTTATTCAGTGAGGGAAGAATAATCTGTACAGCTTGTGGATCTTATCAGTCAGCTGGTGCACACACACCCCCCCCCCCCCCCCCCGATACCCACGTCCACATTCACAAAAGCGCCCCGCCGTTCATTGCCGTCCTCTCTGCCTTTCTAGAAGGATGTACTCCGGCACACGGAACACTTCGTTTTAACGGCTGAACAATTTACCAACGAATGGCTCACTACAGTTAGCCTGGGAATTATGAGGACCCAGGAGGGTCCACACAGATGAAGAGCTGGCGGCTGATGACCTGGAGACGTGGATCCACCCGCAGCTCAGCTCAGAATGCACTGTTAACTCGGGCTTCCACGGGACGACCTTCGCTAGCGGGATGTGTGTGCAAAAGGAAAGAGTTCGCGTCGGTTAGCACGAAAGTTCCATTTGCGGGCACCTGCATCTTTTGGGCAGCTACTCAGACAACGTGCAGCACTAAAGGGATGAGGACTCTGGCCCAATGTCGATCGGTAGTGAGCAGCTACTTACGTCCTTTTGGGTCACTTCGCCTCTCTTCCAGTAGCAGCGCACCCTCAGGCTGCAGGGACCCCTGTCCCTTTAAGGGGGCTGAACTTGGCTCCGTTACTTCCGCCCCGAAGTGACTTGGCGCAGGCGCGTTGGAGAGAGTAGGGTGAAGCGGTGGGAAGCGTTCCCCTTTACAGACATGGTAACGCCCTGACTGCCGCGGGTGCGCCCGGCCGTGACGTCACTTCCTGGGCGGAGGAGGGAGAGTGGTGCAGTGAGGGACAAACAAAAGGAGGGCGCCCGCGGAGCGCGGCGTCCGGCGGCCGGCGGGACTGTGTGGCGGAGGACCGGGGCTGCCTGCCGGGCGGCTGCGAGCGGCGAGCTAAGGTGAGCGGGTCGGGTGGGGGATGAGACACGCGCTGTCACCTCACGGAACCCGTCCTGATGTGTGCCCCGCCTCCGCAAGTCCTGGGCGGCTCTCGCTGCCCGCGGGCGCCGGCCACCCAGGCCCTGCGCCGGGCTGCGCTCCGCTCGGCCCGGCCTCCGGCGGGCGCCGCTCCCAACCCCACCCTCCTGGCCGTGCCGCGGCTCGCGAGCCCCCTCCCGGGCACCCTGTGCTCAGCGCGCGCCTCTCACGCGAGTTTCCGCCGCGCTCTCCCGGCCACACTTGCTGCGCTGGTCCCCGCCGATCCGCGCTCCTCCACGCACGCGCCCTTTTCCCAGTGGTTCCACCTGGGCGTTCTCTGGACAGCTCTCCCACCAGCTCCCCTAGTTCTCAGCCGCGGGGCTTCCCGGCGCCAGCTGCTTTCCTCGGACCCCTCCCTCTTCCTGATCTGCGGGACAGTTTCCATGGCAGGAGCACAGGCTTTTGGGACCTCGGTCTTTGGGCTTCGGTTCCCCGGACGACCGGCTCTCGATGTGAAACTCCACTTGGCTCTGCCCTTGTCTTCTGTATCCATCAGCGGGCAGGAGTATCAGATCTGTGAAAGTGTGGGTGAGCTGAAGGTCAGCAAAGATGCTCCCAGGCTGAAGGAAGAGCTCAGAGAGCTGTTTGTTTGTTTGTTTGTTTGTTTTTTGAGACAGGGTCTCACTATGTAGCCTTGGCTGTTCTAGAACTCTCTATGTAGACCAGGCTAGCTTCGAACTCACAGAGATTAGCCTGCCTCTGCCTCCCGAGTGCTGGGTAAAGACGTGGGCCACTAAGCTGTGCTTGAGCCCTGGGTTCTTGAACCTGCTTTGGTGAGGATTCCTTCCCTTCCTCTGGACTGGAGTGAACCAAGATGGGCTGGCTCTCCTCTGATGCAATTCCTGCCTTTTTTGGGAAGGACACCCGAATTGAGTGAGCGATGAGTGTTAGCTTTTTCCCCATGGGAACTGGGCTGACATAGTGGTAGTTCCAGGACAGTCACACTTACACTGCCTCCTCTTCCCCTGCCTCAACCAACTAGGATCCTTTAAGGATGAGGTGTGGAAGGGGGAGAGGGTGTGTGAGGACAGGGGACACTTGTGTGCTGAATTTTGGGGGCAGAAATGAGTAGCCAGGGGCTCCAAGGTCCTTGCAAGTGTGTCAGTGGTACCTTTAACCCAGCCATCTGTGTTCTGCCCTCTGGAGCAGACATACCGGCAGACAGTCAGACAGACAGACAGACACTGCAGAAAGAAGAGTAGGTTGACTGTTGGGGGTAGGAAAGTGGGCGTGTATTCAGAGGCCCCAGGTGGGGTGGTGCCAGTGTGCTAGGCCACTCGCACTACTGTTTCCTTGATGAAGGTCATCCTCTCCTGTGGCTGTCTGGAGTAGGGCAAGGACATATGGGTAGTGCTGGAGGACAGCTTCCCAGAGCGTGTGAGATGGGGTTTGATGCTCCACTTTGGGGGATGGTGTATAATAGCAGAGACCAGAGAAGCATTTGACACCCCCCCCACCACCACCACCAGAAGTCAGCCTCACACATTTGTTCTCTGTACCTAAGGCATACTTGCTAGGATGAAGTTTCCTTGCAAATTTGAGTGGCCTTTGTGGAGGGTGTGGGCTCGTGAGGCTCATCCTAATGGGGTAGAACCCCAGCTTGCTGCCTACAAGAGCTGGAACCAGCCTGTTCCCCACTCACCTGAGACTGTAGATGATTCCAGGTTTTTACATAGAGATACCAAGGCACAGGCTGAGCAGCCAAGACCTCCTGATAACTCAGGAGGAATAAATGTAGACTTTAAATAAAGCAGAGGAAGGAGGAGGGGCCTTGGGTTAGTGAGCAGGCTGCCCAGGGTACATGTCCTTCAAGAAGGGGCTAGAGAAGCGTGAGTCCAGAGCCCTACTTTAGTCATGGCTGTGAAGTGGCAAGTTACTGTCCAGCATCAGCAATGTCCCAGTCCAGTCCGAGACAGAGGGTGGGGCACAGGTGGCCTGGATGGCCTCTGCTCCTTCCTGGCTCTGGCTGCTGGATGCCTGCATGTCTTGTCTTCCTGTGGTTTGGGAGACTGTGTTTGATGTCCATCCTTTACCAGAGACTGCATCCTCACAAGTTGGCAGGTACTCCCCAACCCCTCCTAGACCCGTCCAGGTCCTGCCGTCTGCTGCTTCCTTCCTGGATAACTCCTAATGTTTTAACTCCCTCACAGCTGGGCCACACTGCCATCTTGGGCTGCTTTTGCTGTCTCCCAAGTCTGGAGTGGCGCCCACACTCCTCTCTCACACTGCCACCTTGTCTCTGGTAAGCAGTGCAAAGCACAGTGCCCGGTGGGGAGTTGAGTGCTTGCTCACTATGGAGAGTGTGTCCTCATGTTTGAGTAGAAATCCTTGTCTGGCCTGGCTCACCCCTTACCACTCCTCTGTCCCCACTTCCACCTCCAGGACTAGTTGTGACCAAAAAGTAGCTTGTAGCATCTTGCCTACCTCTTCTCTCCTGCCAATGAGTACATGCTCTGCTCCTGCCTGGATCATTCGCCTACTCCTCATGCTCGGGGATCACCAGAAACCTGCTCTTCTAGCAGCCTGTACTAACTAACCCCTCTGGTCTGGGCTGGGCCTGAGTCCCCAGCAAGGGCCTTGCCTCCAGATTGAAAAAACTGCCTGGGGGCTCTTTGGAGAACTAGGGTCTGTGGGGCAGGTGCTCCTGTTGCCCTAGAGCCCCATATAGGCCCTGACAGTATCCCCAGGCTCTCTAAAAATGCTAGCCCAATGTAAATATCTCTGAGACCCACAGATGTACCTATTGACTGTAGCTCTTGACTTCTCCTAGGGCAGCAGCCGCGTCCATGGAGCAGAAGGAATGCCCCGGACCCTGTGCATCCAGACAGGGACCAACCTCAGCACCAACAGCCAGCACGAAGATAGCAGAGCCACCTTAGGGTAAGGCCCTCTCCAAACTGTGTGTACTGCCTCTCCCAGGCAGATAGCATGGCCCACGCCTCCATTGTCATAGTCCTTTGGCCTTTATAGGATCCAGGGCTTCTGAGTGTTCCTGCTTGCTCTGCCTTGGTGTTTTTGTTTTTGTTTAGTAGTGGGGACTGAACCCAGGGCCTCACATGTGTCACCCAAGTGCTCTATCTTTAAATTACTTCTTAATATGTGTCTGAGGCTGGCCTTGAACTCCTCATCTCCCTGCTTCTATCTTCCAGTCCTAGGATTATAGGCACAGCACCAGCCTGGGGTAATGTGGTACTGGGGATGGGACCCAGGGTTCTCTGTGTGCAAGGCATGCACTACTAGCTCCCACCCCCAGCTTTCTCCTTGGACCTTGTTTCACCTTTATAGTAAGGCAGGATCTTCCTAACTTGCGGGGTCAGACCTTGAACTCGCAGCTCTGCCTCAGCTCCTGAGTGGCTGGACTCCAGGCTCTGTGAGCAGGCCCAGCAGGCTGTGTTCTTTGAACCCAGTGCTGCTGCACTGGGCCTCACATTTGTCTTCCTCCCCCTACATCTTACCAGTGTGGATAGCTAGAAATGCTGCCTGTGCCCCATTTCCCAAGCTGTGTTCCTTTGGACACGAACCCCTTTGGTCCAGCTGCTGCAGGACTGGTCAGAGTCTTGAAAGCACGGGCTTGAGCATGATGAATATGAGCAGTCCTCACGCTTACGTGGTCATATGCATATCTGTTGGAGGCGGAGGTTCCTTTAGACTGTATACTTTCTTCTATTTGCTTTCTGAGGCGAGGTTGTACTCAGACTGGGTAGGTAGCTGAGGATGGTCTCCTGCCTCCTGAGTGCCTGGATTACAGACTTGTACCACTGAGTGTGCTTTCTGTGGGTGCTGGACCTGGACTCCAGGGCTGTGTGCACACTAGCAAACACTACCAACTGAGCTCTTCCTCCAGCCCTCCATTGCACTGGAGAGGTTGCCCAGGACCAGAGGCTCACTAGCTAGGACCTGACTCAGGGTTAGAGCTAGTCAGACTCTCAGCCTTGCTTGCTGAGGGACTGTGGGCATCTCAGTGTTGAGAACCTTGGCTGCAGGTGGGTCTGCAGCCCTGTTGTCAGCACTGGGGAGGCCGAGGCAGGAGGTTTGCCAGCCTGAGCTACATACTGAGACTCTGTCTCAAGAAAAGAAACTAGGAAGTGGATCTCTAAGTTTGAGGCCAGCCTGGTCTATATAGCAAGTTCCAGGCCAGCCAGGGCCACATAGAGAGACGTAGTCTCAAGAACAACAACAAAACAAAAAGCAGATGGAACAGGGTGAAGGGAGCTCATTGGCATTGTTAGCAGGAAGTTAGGTCTGCAGCAAGCCTCCAAAACAGGTGGTGGTGATAGTCACTTTTTGAGGACTGGTGTGGAGAAGGCACTTAGAACACTCTGTGACAGGATCTTGGGATCGTTTGCCAAAGCTTGAACTTGGTCTCTGTCAGTGTTAACTCATAGAAACTGAGGCTCAAAGCCAGGAAGCAACATGCTAAATCCACCCATGAAGGACCATAACGTGGATTTGAACTCAGATCCTGTAACTCTGTCTGGGTCTGGTCCTTTGTTCTTGCCTCAGTCCCCCAACCTCTGTTTATGCCTCAGCTTTTCCTGGAGGATTGCAAGAGCCCCCACCCCACCCCCAGCCTGGACTTTAAGGAAATAGTCATCCTGGGGGGTGGGTGGGGGGGGTTGCTGCTGCTTTCAAAATCCATGTAGCCCAGGCCAGCCTCCAACAGCTTTTTTTTTTTTTTTTAATCAAATTGTATTATGTGTGTGAATGATGAATGTTTTGCCTGCATGTATGTCTGTGCACCATGGGTGTGCCTGGTACCCTTGAAGATCAGAAGAGGGCTTCAGATTCCCTTGAACTAGAGTTAGAGACAGTTGTGAGCTGCCGTGTGTGTGCTGGGAATCGAACCTGGGTCTTCTGTGAGAGCAACAAGTGATCCTAACTCTGAGCCATCTCTTCAGCCCCAACTCTTGATCCTCTTACCTCAGCCTCCAGAGGGTTGGAATTGTAGACGTGCTGCATCATACTGTTTAGATTTTAATGTCAAAGAGAAGGTAAAGTCCTGACCCTGTCTTCGGAGACCGGGATAAATGGAGAGACTCCCACCACATCTCCTCTCTGGTGCCTGCTTCATGAAAGTCAGGGCACTTTGGGGCTGTCTGCTTTGGCTCTCTTGTTTTTTGGAAGGGCAGCCAGCATCTAGAGCCCTTTCCCAGGACAGATTCAGACAGGCTGCTGAGCCTGGCAGACAGAAGGCACATTGCTGCTGCAGCACCCCTGGGGCCCTGCTCTAGCCCTGCTGGGCTTTTCTGCTTGTGTGGGGCCTTGACATCAGAGAGGAAGGTGGAAAACGCCTGGTGTGTGGTGCTGTTCGTACTCTTGTTTATGGGAACGAAGCCAGCAGTGACTGCTTTACCCTGTGGGAGCTTCCTGTTGGTTGTTGAGGAACTCTGTCCTGGGAGAGAGGAGGCCTGAGCTGGAGCCTGCCTTGCTGGACAGTGGTGAACAGGAAGCAGTGGGAAGTGCCTATGTGAGATGGGAATTCCTTCTCTGCTTGGAAACTGTACAGAAGAGCCACCACATGCTGGCCTGAGGTTTGACCTGCCAATTTTGGCCTCTACTGTCTGCCTGAGCTGGGGCCTAGGTGCAGTTTAGAGAGACGTGTGGCATTTAAGTGGGATTGGATTGCTGTATATGCCTTTCTGTCCCGTACAGACACTTGAGTCATAAGTTAGCCCTGACTCTGTTTCTCCTTACAGTACCTAAAGTCAGTTTTGTCCTGGTCGCAGAGTGTTCCTTTCAGACATAGATCCCAAGGGTTGGATGATAAGGGCAAGGGCTTCCTAGTGGTTTGAGTCTACAGATCTACTGTTGGGCACAGCTGACATCAGAACATTTTTTAAAAATGGGATCTCGCCGGGTGGTGGTGGCGCACGCCTTTAATCCCAGCACTCGGGAGGCAGAGCCAGGCGGATCTCTGTGAGTTCGAGGCCAGCCTGGGCTACCAAGTGAGTTCCAGGAGAGGCGCAAGGCTACACAGAGAAACCCTGTCTCGAAAAACCAAAAAAAAAAAAAAAAAAAAATGGGATCTCATGTAGCCCAGGCTGGCCTTGAACTCCTGCTCTCCTGCCTTTACCTCCCAAGTGCTAGATTACAGGTGTGCACCTCCATACCCAGCACCAGCAGGGATTTTTAGAGTGCGTCATGTCAAGTCCGGCAGCTGGAGTCTGTGGAGTGTTGTTTGGCAGATTCTGAGTTTTCTGCGGAGCTCCCTGCCCACTTCACCTGCTGGTTTCCTAGGTCCTCCCGGCCTTGCCCTCCAGGTCCTCCTCTGCTCTCCCTTGCCGTTTCCCCGCTTCTAGAGAGACAGGAGCTGGCCTCTGAGTAGCTGATGGCTCGACTTCTCCTTGCCCTCCTCCCCAACACCTTCCCCTCCATGAACATCCTCGGTGCTAAGAAGCCCTACCAGGTCACTGCATTCACCTCCACCCCAGCCTCGTGAGTGGGACCGACAGGAGGCCAGGCTTAGGGGACGCGGTCACTTGCCTCAAGTTGTAGGTGACGACACAATACCGGGCTGAAACTGAAGTCATGGCATGGTGACCTGTGCTCTGTCTGCTCCACCCTTCTGGTTCCTCTCTGTCTCTTTACTTTGAGGGTGCTTTCAGAGTGTGACCCCAGCTCGTGTGCTCAGGCTTGGTGTCTGCAGACAGTGCTGGGAACACTGACCAGGAAAGCACTTAGCTTCAGGACAGAATCCATCTTTGGTGAATGAAGCCAGGGGAGGGGAGTAGAGCGCCCTCCAGAACCAGGTTGCCTATGTGTGTTTTAGTGTTTCTGTTTGTCTGTCTGTCGTGTGTGTGTGTGTGTGTGTGTGTGTGTGTGTGTGTGTGTGTGTGTGAGAGAGAGAGAGAGAGAGAGATGGGCTCTCTTGGTGTGTTTCTGCTGCACCTCCTGGTTTGCAGTAAGTTGTCTTCTGTCTCTTGAGGGCTTGAAATCTCAAAATTAAATTGCTTGCTGCATTACAGCCACACGCTTGGTGTGACGTTCCGCCGGTGTAAAAGTGGCTGTAAAATTCCATGGTTTCACGTGCTCGCCCACCTCAGAGGCGCAGCTGCCAAACCCGTGCCCTCTGTGACAGCCCGACAAATGTGCTGCCCAGCAGCTCAGGTGGTGTGGCGGAATCCTGGCCTGGTGGGGCAGCTGGCGCCCCCCAGCTGGCTCCCTGGGTTCTTATTCGGGGAGTGGGTAGACAGCTTGCCTTTGGCTGGGTCCCCTTGCCCGCCTGGGCCAGGCCAGCACCTTATTCCCCTGGACCCACAGCATATGTGTTTACAAGCTTGTCCAGGGTTCTTACACCTCCGTTTCTTTCTTTCTTTCTTTCTTTTTTTTTTGAGACGGAGTTTCTCTGTTTAGTTTTTGGTGTCTGTCCTGGATCTTGCTCTATAGACCAGGCTGGCCTCGAACTCACAGAGATCCACCTGGGTCTGCCTCCTGAGTGCTGGGATTAAAGGCGTGCGCCACCACCGCCCGACACCTCCGTTTCTTAACCAGTCTCAGAAGACAGAAGGTGTTCATGGCAGCTCATTACCAGTCTTCAAGGATGCTTTGTCCCCAGGTACACAGACCCCAGACTCCAGTGTTTTTTTAACTCCTGAAATACTAGAGACTGCTGAGTATGACTTTCCAGGGGTGTTTGCAAAGGCCTCATTCTGTTCATGCCTTGGCAAAAGGAGGCTTTTCCTAAGAAGCCTTTTGAAAGACCTGTGGATGCATTGGGGCCCAGGAGACCTGTTGTCTTAGGGACCGCTTGGCATAGTGGCAACTCAGATCTGGGTCATCTTCCCATTCACCTCTCTGGACCTCAATTTCACGTTGTTAAGGGACTTTTCAGCCCTTCTGTTCTGAGAGCAGCAGCAATAGTGACATGTGCCTGTAGTCCA